GGAAAAATTTCGGGAACGAAAAATTAAAAAAGTTGATATTTAAATCGCTTGGTTGCCTCGACTCACGTTTCATGCTTATCTTTTATTCACTGTCCTTGTTTACGTTCGGCAAACTACAAAGGCGGGCGCGAGGCTCGAAAAGGTATTCCCTGACTCTACGAGTGTCAGGTTTAGCTTCCTTGCGGTCTGACACTTGTGGAGAATATACTGTATTCATTTATACGCGAAAAAATCACGTAACCTTAAAAATTCCCCCAAAGGAATGATCTCGAGACAAAAATATTTTTCATTCGATACCATTCGAGTTGCATCAAAAATACCGTTTCGTATTATCACAAATTAAAGATAATTTAGGTGGCTTCTTTCAAGCGAGACACCCGGTGTATAAGGGTTAATTGTTTCGCAGACTAAATATCGCGAGGATAAAGAAACATTACCCGCAGTTCGTTCTCTAATCTACAACGAGAAGAAGCCACGTTAATCGGCTTCTCTCGTAGAGAGAAAAAAAGGAATAGTATGCTCATTCATCATTGCAGCCTACTCGATGATCTTTGAATCAACGTGCCGCGGCATTCCCACAATAACGAAGCTGAAGACGCAGAAAACGGAATCGGCTAGTCACGGCATAGAAAATGAGTATGAAGACGTTGCCACTGACTTTATGCACTTCCCATGCCATTGAGATCCTTTGATCCCGCCGAATCGTTTTCATGGAATGTTCGCCATTAACGAATTTTTAATTGCCCCTGGATTTCTTGCTCTTTTCGAGAAAATCGAAATTCTTCGACTAAAAATACAATTCTTCCCTTTTTTTTTCTTACAGATTTCAATTTTAAGCCTTTTTCTAGCCGCGAGTAACGCTGTGGAGAATACTGTATTGCACCGAGTTTATGATCATGGCAAAAATCAAGTTTCTAAATCGAATGGAAATTAAATAAATCGCAGAAATGAAACAGAATGTAACAAGAAGATAAAAAATCAATAGAATGTACACCTAAGATGAAAAATCAATTGTTTCATGGACAGTGAACTCTCTGATGCACTCTTAGATTCCCTAACTCTCAATCGACAGCGGTATTTCATTCGCAAAGTGCGAAAATAAATAAATAGAACTCTACGTATCAGAATCAGACGGGCGTATATGTGCGCTCTTCTTAAATAAGCCACCACTTCTACAAAACGTACATGACAAGCTTGAAATTTTAAAATGGTGTAGGTAACATTTCCAAAAATTTGAACCTAAGTGCAGAAAAGCCACGTACCACTATTAAATAGCCTAAGTGCCACATACCACTGTTAAAAAGACAAGTGAAATAAGTTACAATTGATTCTGGTAACGTTGAATACGAAACAGTGCCAAATTCTTTATTTCCCGCAATAACAAAATTGTCACTCAGATCGCTACAACTTTAAGCTCCTATCGGAAGGGTGAACGATTCTTCTACTATCTTTCGAATATTTTCGGCAGTAACTGTACAATCACCGTAGCCTTTTTATTCCCAAGATAATCGTCCGGAGGAACACTATGGGAGCCAGGAGAACGCTAAAGGTCAGACATTCACTCTCCTCGCGGTCGAGGAAAAGGAGAGCCTTGTGTATATTTGCTCGTTGTAGAGCTCCGTCCAAATTACAAGTTAACCGCAGCGCGGAATAGGAAAGAAGAAATGGAACGATCCGGACGGAACATTTCGCTCGAGAGCGTGAGAATCTTCGTCTCTCCGTTCGCTGAATGATTGATTTAAAGGTCACGCGTTTCCACGTTCTTTTAACTCGCGTGCTACGGTCCCTCCGTTCACCCTTCCCTATCTCCCCCGGAATATTTAACCCCGTTGACCCTTCTTGGCCAAGTTTCACCCGTTTCTACCACCAACCGTTCTTCTTCAGCTCTCGGTGATTCCCTTTCGTTGCGTTCGCCTTTCTCCGCCGACCGGCGCGATGTTAATTACAACCTCTTAGCTCGAATTACCGTGCACGCCACCACTTTTGCCATCCCCCAACGTGCTGGATTTCGAGGCGATGCGCGTGTATGTGTACGAACGTTTTCGCATCTCTCTGTCTCTTTGTATCGTGTCGTGGCTCGAGGCAACCGTGTGTAATCGTGGAACTTTGTTTCTGTCAGCGGTGTAAATGACACCTAGCGTTGTTCCATCGGCCAATTGTGGGACTTTGTTTGCCGCGATGGGATATTATAGGAACCTAGGGAAAAATATCGAGGGACCCAACGGGAATCGAACCCGGGACCTTCGGCTTTTTTCACTCCCTCTCTATTCTCCCTTCGAGGTTTCCTATTTGGGTATGGAGGCCCCGATACTACACTCGGCCATCCTGAACTTACATTCGCCCTCGAATGTCCTCAGTGCAACACAACTAAACACTTTCGGGCACACTCTCCTACACAGTGGCACACAGCCGAAACAACGCAATTTGGGAGACGTGCAAACTCTCGACATGTTCTTCATCGCACACCTCCTGCCTTCGTGTAGCCGTAGATGCCTCCATCCCGGATTACTCTAATCTACCAAAACGAAGCAAATTAGTATCGAGTCTACTCTACATACAGTGTCGGCTAAAATGTTCCAACCACGGTGCATTTCAACCTAAACCAGAATATTACAGAAAGATGTAAGCAACTTCTAGGAAAATTTCTCAAATATTACCTTAACCCTCGAACAGCCAATCGAAAAACAGTGACGCAGCACGCCAACGCCGGGTCTCTTTTGACCCATACTGGAATTTTGACTAAACGTATTTCAGAACTAATCTCTAAGTAATAAATGTCATCTTGTAACAAAAAATCTTAGAACGAGAAACATAAATATATTATTTACTTCGTTTATGTACATTGTGTACATAAAATTGTATACAGTATGTCTCAGGCATGTTATACATTTCGAGCTGTATTTGATAACATTCCCTACGAATTTGTAGCATCTCGAACATATTTACGTTGTTACTCAGCTTCTTCGATCTTTACTTCTCGCTGCTGTACACAATACTGTAGGAACCGACGACGGAAAAAATACTGGAGGGACCCAACGGGAATCGAACCCGGGACCTTCGGCTTTTTTCACTCCCTCTCTATTCTCCCTTCGAGGTTTCCTATTTGGGTATGGAGGCCCCGATACTACACTCGGCCATCCTGAACTTACATTCGCCCTCGAATGTCCTCAGTGCAACAACTTAACACTTTCGGGCACACAGTGGCACACAGCCGAAACGACGCAATTTGGGAGACGTGCAAACTCTCGACATGTTCTTCATCGCACACCTCCTGCCTTCGTGTAGCCTTAGATGCCTCCATCCCGGACGAGCCCCCATATGTAGGAACCGATGACAGAAAAATATCGAGGGACCCAACGGGAATCGAACCCGGGACCTTCTGCCTTTTTCACTCCCTCTCTATTCTCCTTTCGAGGTTTCCTATTTTTGGGTATGGAGGCCCCGATACTACAATATGGGTAAGTGAAATCCTGTTTTAGAGGCCTTCGTACGGTGTTCGAGGATGAAGTTCTGTTACTGAAAAGTCGTGGACATTTGGGCTCAACCCTTTGAGTGCTATGGATGTATATATGCATACACTCACTTTGTGGTCCTAGCTTGAAACCAACGCAGGTTTTGATATGTATATTTTTTTGTTTACGGGGAGAGAAAGGATTCGAGCGTTAGAGTGGGAATTTCGTGAATATATCGTTTATCCGGGAAGACTGTTAGAGGTAACATCGACGAGAAATGTCGCGAACGCGGCTGGCTCCATTCGAGGAATCGAGAAACCCTGTAATCCATACGGAAAGGAATCTCTCGTGGTTTGCCTGACCCATTCGCGTTCTTCTTCGAGAATTAGACTCTGTTGCTACGCGTCCGAGAGAAAAATAGGGGAGCTACAATGGATGTTACTTAAAACATCCAATTTACCGATTCTGTTCTCGAAAATTGTTTAAAATAAAAATTTTGCATTTCTCCAAGTGAATTGTTAAAAATCTGTTTTGACTACGACTTTTAATTGCAAAGTAATTAAAAGCGACAGCCAAAAATAATTTAACGAAAATCCAAGGAAATACTGTAGCAATGATCTTACCAAGAAAAAAAAAAATAGAAAAAACTTGTGGAATGAGAAGACATTTACACTTCGTTTTCTCAAATTTAAAGGTTCGTTGGAAATATTGATCTAAATTTCAAGAATTCGCCAGGAACTCGCGACACGAATCTAACACAATTCTTTTTCAGCATTGTCCAACAAGAACACGGCGAAATGTTTTTGCCACGTTTTCGACGCGTCAAAGTTGTTTGCTTTGGCCAAGCTCACGGCTCGTTTGGTATCCTCGTAAAGCGTAATTACGACGTCTAGTTTGATCACCGAACGCCGCCCGAATGAGCGGTTGTTAAGCCGTTTATGCCTTCGTTTACTCTCGCAAACGCAACAGTCTAGGACATTACGACGGGTTTCTGTCCATTTTTCCCCACGATTCGCCATTTCCACGTCTACCAAACACCACGGTGATTCCAATGTACACCTGCCCTGTAATTTACCCAAGCAATACGATTAACTATAATAATATTGTAATCCGTTTAGAGTGATCACGAGCCTCGAGTCTTGTTCGAGGAAACAGGTGGTAATTAATGGCTTTAAGGCTCGAGTCAGGTGGATCGACGAGAGTTTCTTTCTTTGCTTTTACGTCGACAATTATCTCCTTTGAATTAACACAGCAGATTTTCCACGTTTTTATCGCTGCTCGTTCTAACGTCAATTTCTTTTTTTTTTTTTTTATGGATAGTTTGAGTATTGTTGAAGATGTTAAGTGTGGAAGACGAGTTAATTCGTCGTTGATTCGCGAATAGTTGGAACACAATATTTTATTCATCTTTAAATGGAAAGATCCAAAACTAGATAAGT